AGCACAAAGTCGATGACACATGGAATGTGAACTTTGATGTCAATGCTATAGGTAATTTCTCAACTATGATAGTATTTAGTGTATCGACTATAGGTGTAATCCCAATAGATGACCCAATACATTGTTCAATTTTAATAGAGAGTTTATTTGAGTTAGAAGTGCTTTAATTAGATTCAATTAGTTTGTTTATTTTGATATAAAATGTTTCTTGCTCTAAAAATAAAGGGCTTAATCTGTGTAAATATTCAAAACTTGATATATGAAAAAATATTTTTGCAAGCTTTTATTTCTTTAGTTCAACTAAGTTATCTCAATACCTCATGTTAAAAAAGACGAGCTCAGGGCCCGTTCGACATGCTCTTTGTAAAGTCAAATATAATTTGTGAAACTACAAAGTTATTTTTGAATATGTTTGGATAATTTTTTAAAGATATTTTGTCTGACTAGAAGATCTTTTAAATGAACCTTTTTTATAAAAGAAAAAATCTTGTCAAGTAAACCCTCAATATGCTTGCACGTTTATTATTTTAATTATATGGATAAAACTAGCTTGCATAGTCAAGACGTGTATAAACGAAAAAAAATAAATTGGTTTACCTTTATTTTTTAATTTCATTAATTTAATAAATTCTCTCTCTAAACTTAGTGTAACTTTCAGTGACACGTCATTAAAAAATAATTGGAGTTATGTACAAAAAATAAAATAAAATCCGTTCGACTCGCCATTTGGATGTGTGAACCAATTTCCTTAATTAATTTCACGTAGTGCATGAACTTGCGCCTGAATTACGCTTGTCGACGAGGGCTTGTGTAGATATATTTCCGTCATTTATTTATTTTTTCAATCGACATTAAGTCCCTATTTGATAACAATTAAAACAAATTTTTTTTCTCAGACTCATTTTCAATTACACACTATCAAAATAAAATATTTTGCATGTAAATTCATATTTTTCCTAGTTTTTAATCACACGTTCTTAAAAAATTCACTATTCCGAAATTCATTTTCTCCAACAAAAAAAAAAAGAAAGAGAGGGAAAAGAAAAAGAAAAAAAACTTATTTTAATGATTGTCAAACAGGGACTAACTATTCTTTTCAGTGAAAGAATATTAAAAATTAAAATATGCTAATTTTGTCACAACTTGTTATTCTTGCTTTAATATTCTACCTTCGATCAGTCATTCAATGCAAATGGTTGGAGCAACTTTTTTATTAAAATTGTTAGGTATTCTATTTGTAATTGGCTATTTCTTAGACAAAATCTAGGTTATTTGTGTTAAAAATAAAGTCAAAGAAATGGGACTTGGTTGTATAGGCCAATTAGGAATTCTAGGGTTTGAGTATGAAACAAGGAATTAAAATTTACAGAATGATGCTAGCTCAATGTCAAGATCATGCTCAAGCACCCAAAACAGTGTGATGATGATAGCCTAATGCCAACCTTTCGCTTGAGCGAACCCCCCCACATCAAGCGAGCATCAACAAATCCCTAGTTTTTTGAGAAACCTTATTTTGCGATTTTAAACACTTTTAACGATCCTGTACAACTCTAAACACTACCCATTATAAATATATATGCCCTATTTCGTCCAAATGTGTGTTGACTCATTATTTTGTCTTAGAGATCTCATTGTTGAATATCATAGGCATATTCCATTGTTTTATTGATTCAACTTCGAAATCATTGTTCATATAATTTATTCCAAACGTTGTTTCAACATTGGTTGAAGAACATACATTGAAGATCATATCCATATCCAAATTCGAATATCTCTTTCCTCAACTACAAATCAAAATACGAAAAGATTGTTGATCAAACACTAAATCACCCATTTCCAAAGTATCTATCAGAGATATGAAAATCTAGTAAGGTAACCACAATTCCGATCGGAGGAGAATGAGATCATTCTTAACGATCTACTAGAGACAGACAATTTCAGAAGTTCTGGAGCTGGTCCTGGAATACGCAATTTAATGAGATCCTTGGTGATTACAGGAAGGAGGTCAGAGAATACTAAGAGTTAGTCGAGTCTGGACCGTACTGTAAGTCATATCGTTTGTAGTAGATTTTACTAACAGTGTGCCCAAAGGTTTTTGATCCCGTCGAAGGAGTTTTCTCAATGATCATATTTGGTATTCATTTTCTTTATTGCTTTTGGTCTATTGTGATTGTTTAATCATAGGATCTAATTGAATTAATTCTTAATCATCTAGAGAAAATAAAAGTGACATGTTGCTTGTTATTGTAATTAATTCCACAAGTGGGTCTAAATATTTTTCCATCAAGTGGTATCATAGGGGTACCCGTTATTTCAATTGGTATCATAGTTTAATTGTGATCCTTGACCCAATTTTATCTAGATGAATCAATCACATTCTAATATAGGATTTGATGATATGATATTAATATTCATGAGACTTATGACCAGTTGTATAAGGAGAGTAATGTTAGATAGTACCAATAACCGCTCATCACAATCAGCAAGGTGAATGCTACCCCATGAGCACTCTACGTAGAGCACCCCATGCTAGGTCGTCAACCATTGAAAGGTCATCTACATCCATGCTAGGTCGTCAACCACTGAGAGGTGAATTCTGCCCCATGAACACTCTAAGTAGAACACCCCATGCTAGGCCGTCGACCACTGAGAGGCCCTCTACATCCATGCTAGACATCGACCACTGAGAGGCTCTCTACATCCATGTTAGGCCTCGACCACTAAGAGGACCTCTATATCCATGATAGGTCATTGACCCATTTGAAGCCATCCGACGCTACAAGTCCAACATAACAATCATCCATGAAAATATTGTTGAATCAGATGAGGTTTGTTTAATGATATCATGGATACAACCAACCGCTAGATAAATAGTGGCCCTCCACTTAGAACGTGGGGGTAGTGGAAAGTGCTATGTGGGACACGTGGCAATAAAACAGCATAGTAGTTATAGGGCTTCAATCACTTACAAATATCCTTAAGGCAAAATATATATGGAGGGGAAAAAAACTTTGGCTATCTGAATACACACTTTGCCTTTCCCTACACTCCTAAATTCAATAATAATTCTCATGCTAGAGGTAAAACGGGAAAGAAAGCCCGACCTCTTTTTGTAGGTAACGTTATAGCCAAACTAGATTAATTTACCAAAAGATGGAATGTTTTAAGGGTTAAGAAACAGTCCTTAGAAATTAAGGTTAAATCTCTTACATGTGATATTGAAAAATTAAATGCCAAACTTTAATCATCTAGTGAATCTAAAAAGATCGATAACATGATGGGTATGAACTAAAAAGGTGGGAATAGAGGAGATTTAGAAAATAAAGAAACAAATTCTTATACTACTTCCTCTTCTAACAATAAGTTCGTACCTACCTTAAAGCCTAATGCTCAAAAGTTGAAACTTAGAGTTGCTCCAGGTTCTTCCCGACGTGTCACTATTGTTATAAGTTAGGACACACAAGACCTAAGTGTAGCAAGCTCTTAAGTAGGGACAAGGTCAAGAATGTAGGTGTCCGGGGATCAAAATTATATATACAACATAGGTTTTTCCACCCAAGGTTCAAATTTTGAAACCTAGGTTTGCTACTAAATTCGTAGGCACATGTCATAGTTTTGGTGTTTTAGGTTACATTAGACCTAAGTGTCGTAAACCCTTGGTTAGAAATATCAATCAAGATCTAATTACTCTTATAAGATTGTTGACTAACGAAGTGAGTCACTTGACTGACTTCATGACTCAATTGACTAAAATTGCTCTTCTTCTAAGAAGATTTGGGTAAAAAACAATGATGTCATAGGTCAAAGTGATGTTCTTAATTACGTTATTGTGCATGATATCTTAAAACATGGTGCCCTATTATCATATGACTTGGAGTTACAGGTCCAAAGCTTGTTACATGGTTCATTAAGTTTGTGTAGTGGAGATACGTCCACATATAAGATATAAAACATGAGAGAAATGCGCATGTGCTTATTGATAGGGGGTGAAAGATTATACATTGAAAAATCAATATGACCTTCTTACTTAAAAGGTCCTAGTAGCATTGGATTTGACTTTATACTTTGAGGAATATAATCATTCACTAGTGATTATTTGCATATTCTTTCTTATTGATTTAAGATTTTAAATTTGATTACAAGAGTTTAATGACACTTTTCACGCATGATAACTTATACAATTTACTCCATACATGCTTAAACTAAGTTGTGAAAATAAAGTTTATTATTTATGAATTATAACTGTATAAGTAAGCAAATAACTGGTTATTTTAAAAAAATAAACAATACACATGGACTCATCATATTTTTTTAACTTGTTCATCTATGTGTTATTCATGATTACTAGTTTTTCCTTTGTTTTTCATCACAGAAGGAGGGAGAAATTTAGTATTTATTTCAAAGTTTTAAGTATATAAGTTAGGGGGAGAAATGTTAAATTTTGGTTTATCCGATATTTGACTTAGGAGAAGTCATAGTAATTCGATAATCTGACTAGCATGATGTATTGCACTTATTGATATTACATAATGTGTTTTGCGTACTATCAATATCGTTATTGTGTGTTGCTAGTTCAGTTAATGTGATATCTATTTCATCTTGTCATGATTAGATTCTAATTTATTTAATACTTGTAGTAAACAAGCGTTGGTGATATACATGTTTTATTTGAGTTATCTATTGAACCTAGCTATATGCTTTATCATGAGCTTCTTCTTACTTTTCACATGGTATTATTATTTTCATGTATTTTCAAGAAATAGGTATGACAAGATTTGAGATTTGAGTTAAAGTTTGGGATATTGTTAAATTGTTTCTTATCTTGACTTTGAAATAAATGATTTTATCACGGAATGTTAAAGGGGTAGTTTGTTAGGTCTCCTATTTGTAATTGGTTATTTCTTATACAAAATCATTTTGAGTTATAAATAAAGTAAAAGAGATGGAGTTGGTTGTATAGATCAATTAAGAGTCCTAGGGTTTGAGCATGGAACAAACAATTAAAGTTTCTGGAATGATGCTGGCTCAATGCCAAGATCATGCTCGAGAGCCCAAAACAGTGATGATGATGGTAGCCTAACGCCAACCTTTCGCTTAAGTGAAACCCCCAGCATCAGAGTAGAAACCCTATTTCACAATTTTAAACACTTTTAACAATCTTATACAACCCCAAACACTAATCATTAAAAATATTCGTGCCCTACTTCATCCAAAAGTGTGTTGAATCATTATTTTGCCTTAGAGAGATCTCATTGTTGAATATCATAAACATGTTCCATTGATTTTATTGATTCAACCCCAAAATCATTGTTTATATAGTTTATTCCAAAAATTGTTACAACATTGATTGAGCCTTGAATTAAGTCAAGAGAACTTATTCTGAAGATCATATCCATATTCATATATCTCTTGCCTTAGCCACATATCATAACACAAAAAGATCGTTGATCAAATACCAAACGTCCCACTTTCGAAGTATCAATTAGAGATCTGAAGATCCAGGAAGGTGATCGAAGTTCTAGTTGGAGTAGAACAAGAGAGTTCTTAGTGATCCACAGGCGATAGACGAGTCCAAAAGTTCTGAAGTTGATGTTGGAGCATGCAATCCAATGATGTCATTAGTGATCAAAGGAAGGAGGTGAGAGACTATTAAGATGTCATTTATAGTGGATTTTACTGGCAGTATGCTTGGAGGTTTTTCATCATGTTGAAGGAGTTTTCTTCCGTAATCATATTTGGTATTCATATTTATTTACTACTATTGGTCTATGTGATTTTTTAAAAGTAAAATTCAATTGAATTAATTCCTTAATAATTTAGAGACAATAAAATTGATTTGTTGCTTATTAACATGATTAGTTTTGCTCATGGGTTTAAATATTTTCCCATCAAGTCATACCAGAGTGCACGGGCGGAGCCAAGAAATATTTTCAGTGCGGGCATAATTTAACTCAGGGGCGGACCCACATGGAGTAATGTGGGGTCAAATGACCCCCACAAAATTTTGCCCCTATTTTTTTTTAATAATCTACTTTGATGCACTCGTCGAGATATCAAATGAAGTCAAAATATTGCATTCTTAGTACCATTTTGAAGTGTTCATGTCCTAATCTTTCACTCATTAATGGCATGCGAAGTAGTCAACTATAACAAAAGTTATGACATGTTAAAGTAGGGCGTTTGAAACTAGTATTTTGAGAATTTCAATAATATCCTAACTTTAAAAATTCGTTTGCGATCATGTGCTATCTGAATCCACAAATTGTCTACGTCATGTAAAAGTTCGTTTCAAAAACTACATCGTTTTCATATCGAATGGTCCAAACGGATATCGAAAATAGTTAAATATGTATCAAACGTACGCCTCAAAAAAGACGTCTAACTCGTTTTTTCTTTTAAAAAATTCAATTAATTATTATTTTTATACGATAAAATTTTCAATATAATTTATATCGTTTCATTCGGAAGTTTTATATGAAATATGACGTAAATTTTTTAGGATCGTTACGAATTAAATGCAATTTGAATTACTTTTGAATTATATTTATTTTAAATTTAAATTTCATTTACTTCCTGAACTAAACTTGAATTTTATTTCAATTCATTTAATTTCTATATTCTATTTAATTTACTCAATGTTAGCTCAGCATTTGCCAATGAAATAATAAACAAAACTTTATAAGTAGCAAAATTTATTTAATAATATTAATAATGATGTAATTATACGACATTTTAAAATTGTCAAAATACATATAAACTTATTTTCACTGATATTATGTTGTTTATTAAAAAAATTATTTTTAAAAT